CTGACATAATATAACCACAGCTTCATTTTCCAAGCTGCTCCAATGATTTTTCATCAACTACTTTGGCACATATAGCATTGAAGAAGAAACAAAGACGCATAATTGCATGTCGTAGATTCTTTGGCAATATGTCACGTATAGCTACGGGTAAGAGTTGTTGCATCAAAACGTGACAATCATGCGACTTTAACCCAACTAGCTTCGGATCTTTCATGGACACAAGACTCTTAATATTTGAAGAGTATCCTTGTGGCACTTTAATACTGTGAAGACAACGACATAAACTAGTCTTCTCCTTCTTTGACAATGTGTGACAAGCTGGTGGTAAATATGTTCTCTTGCCTTCGGGTCTTGGATGTAATTCCGGACGTATTCCCAATTCACATAGATCTTGACGAGCTTTGACTCCATCCTTTGTTTTTCCTTTAATGTTCAATAGTGTGCCAATGAGACTATCAAATACGTTCTTCTCCACATGCATAAAATCAATGCAATGTCTCACATCTAGATGACTCCAATATGGAAGGTTAAAGAAAATTGATCTCTTTTTCCATAACCTTTTATCAGACGACTGTTTTTTAGTCTTTCCAAAGACAACATTAATGTTTCTAACCCGTTCATAAACTTGTTCACCAGTTAAAGGTTGTTTGGCAATTTTATCTTCCTGCTGACCATTAAAAGCTTTCTTCAATCTTCGATATGGGTGGTTATGTGGAAGAAATTTTTTGTGCCTATTATACACGATCTTTTTTCCATGCTTCAATTGTAGAAAACTTGTATCTTCCTCACAAATAGGACAAGCATGATGACCCTTGACACTATACCCACTCAAGTTTCCATATCTTTGGGAAGTCATTGATAGTACAAAATAACATTGCATGTAACTTGAAGCTCTGCTGTTGATATGCATCAAACATATCCACTCCTTCCTCCCACAATAGCCTTAAGTCATCTATTAACGGACTTAGATAAACATCTATGTCATTACCTGGCTGTCTTGGACCTGCAATCATGATGGATAACATCACGTACTTGCGCTTGAAAATCAACCATTGTGGAAGGTTGTAAATCACTAAAAGAACTGGCCATGAGTCGTGATTCTTGGTTAAGTTACCAAAAGGATTCATGCAGTCTGTGGCTAGTCCAAGTCTAACATTTCTTGCATCATTGCCAAAACTTGGAAATAGGCGAGTCAATTTTCTTCCACTTGTGCGAGAATCGGCCGGATGACGAAGCAATCCATCACGTTTTTGTGCGGTTGAATGCCATATCATATTCTTGGCATCTTCTCCATTGGCAAACAATCGCTTCAATCTTGGAATAATTGGAAGATACCATATAACTTTTGCAGGAGGTCTCTTTCTATCAATACATTCGTTATTATCATCCTTGTCTTTCAATTTGTAACGCGATACACCACATCTTGGACACTCATGTAGGCTTTCAAACTCTTTTTCGTATAATACACAATCATTAGGGCAAGCATGTATCTTTTTATATCTGTAAACCCATTGGACAAAGTATTTTTTTGGCTTCATACATACGATCGAGGCAAGGTGTTATCGCTTGGGAGCATATCTTTCAAAACTTCTAGTAACTCGGTGAAACTTTTATCACTCCAACCAAATTTGGCCTTCAAATTGACCAATCTCAATACAGTGACAATCGCGTGAATGTTGTACATCCGGCATACGAGAGGTATCTACGAATCTATCTTCAATTTATCATAGACAGCGGCATGTGCTTGCGAGAAAATTCTCTTGACCTACATCACGAATCATGTCTTCTATTCGATCTTCCATTGTCATATCCTCCTCTTCCTCGGCTTGTGTTACTATTGGTGTATCAATCACTTCACCATGCCATGTCCATAGGATATAATTCTTCATTATCCCATCACATAAAAGATGTTCCCGTATTGTCTCTAGTGTGTGTACTCTCCCATTAACGCGGTTAACGCATGGACAATACAATTTTCCATTAACCTTGGTGCCATTGTGTTCGGCAAATCGCAAAAATTCTTCAACTCCATTCTCATACTCTTGTGAAATACGACTTGCATTTACCCAACTTCGATCCATTTTGGAATTGGAGTCTATAAATGAGAAACCCATAAAACGATTAATACTAATAATCGTTATCTCTAATGAAATCTATACCAAAGTAGATTAATTTGTAACGAAATTTCAACAGAATTTCGTCTATTTTTTGGTCAAAACCAAATTTGTATAAATTGAAATTATAGAGTTTTCATTGTTACTACCATCACTTATATAACTACATTGTTATATGTAGTTTTCGAAATTCACACTTCATGATTAATTTCTAACAAAAATCCGGCAGAGTTTCCTTTGTTTTTTGGCAACAATTTTAAATGACACGGTGAAACCGACAATAAAAAGCCCCACGGGCATATTCAAGCGAGTTCAAGTATAATTGTACACATCATCAATACATTGAAAAAAACTATAATATGACTAAGAATTGAATCAACGAGTTAACGGCAAATGACTAACAATCTCTACCTATGAAATGTAGTAAGTAAAATTGTATGACTTTGCCCAACAAATATAAGTGCAACAACATCGTACCTGTGGTTTAAGGCAGCGATGAAGGTTCGCACCACGGAGAAACGAGTAGCGGCTGCACTGGGGTGGAGGTGGAGGATGCAATGCGGCGTTAGGGTCGAGGTTGTGGTGAGCGGACAATGCAATGTGGGTGGAGGCTGCGGTGGGGTTGGAGGGTGGGCGACTAGCGTCGCGGTGGGCGACTAGCGTCGCGGTGGGGTGGAAGTTGCAGTGGGGTGGAGGTGCTGCGGCGGGGGTGTCACGCGGTGCGCGGTGGCGACGTGAGGGAGGGCGTCCGGAGAGTCCAAATGACGGTGGTAGGTGGTGGCCGCGATCTTTGGAGAGTAAGGGGAGTGGGCGCGATCTTTGGAGAGTAAGGGGAGATACAAAAATGGTAGCCTATTCAAATGGGAAAACGGGGTTTCGACGTCGGTTATACCCACACCCGACGTTGAAACTCGATTTATCTCCGAGTCATATGTTTTAATCGATTGAAACGAGATTTAATCGATTAAAATAGTTCTAATCGGTCATAAGCTGGATTCGATCGATCATCCCGACCCTTTAAGAGATTTTAATCGATTGAAACATGTTTCTAATCGATTGAAAAAATTTTGATCGCTCATAATTAAAATCTGATCGATCACATTTGATTCTGATCGGTCATATTTGTATTCGATCGGTCATAATGAGTTCGAAGGGTTTTCAACGTCGGGTGAGGGCATAACCGAGCGTCGAAAGCCTACTTTCCACGTCGTGCATGCTAAAACGACGTAGAATGTGTCAAAAATTCGACTTTCGACGTCGGTTGTTGACCAACCGACGTTGAAAGCATGTTCAATGTCGGCTAAGATGTAACCGACGTTAAACAGCGACGTTGAAAGTATATTTTCTAGTAGTGGACACAATATCTTCTTAGCATCATAATTGCGGGTTGGCAATGTGTTACCTTCAGGGAGCATGTCACTCAACAACTCAAGCAATTCTGTGAAACTTTTATTAGTCCACCCATTCTTTGCCTTCACATTGAACAATTTTAGTACCGCCGACAATCGTGTGAACTTAGTACAATTTGTATACAAAGGCTCTTTTGCATCATTGGACAACTTCTCGTACACATGTGTGTGTTGGAAGGCATCTTGTCCAAGCTCACGAATCATTTCCTCCAGTTGATCATCCATCTCTAGATCAACTTCTTCTTTGTCTTCTACACTTGGCATGTTTAATAATTCACCATGCCATGTCCACTTTATGTAACTCTTTAGGAAACCATCACAAAGAACATGTTCCCGAATAACTTCGATCGGTAATCTTCGCTCATTCAAGCAGTTAACACAAGGGCAATAGAATCTTCCATCATTATCAGGAACATTCATCTTAGCAAATTCAAGGAATTGTTCTACTCCACTCTCATATTCATTTGTTGTTCGTCTATAATTGATCCAACTCAGATCCATTGTTACAAATCTATTTTTCAAAATCAAATTAGCTACGAAACACGAAATAACTACATTATAATGCCTACACGAAATCCAACTCCACTCTCAAAATAACTACATTATAATACAAATCTAATGTTCAAAATCAAAATCACGAAAGAATGCCTACGAAACACATTCAAATGACTAAACTACTTACAATACATCTCTAAATTAGCTAAAGGCACCCGTGATGTTTCCCTCTCTTGACGAGCATTATTACTTACTAGATTCAATACTGTAAACCTACATTGGCTAAAGCAAGCATGAAAACTTACCTCTTGAAGACCTACGAGAGGTGGCGGGTGGCGTGACGTGCGGAGCTGGGTGGGGAGAAACGTATCCCGGGCGACGGGCACCGGTAGCGGCGAGGCGGCACGAAGCGTTGGCGGGTGGCGCGACGAGCAAATGTGGGTGCGGAGAAACGTATACAAGCGAACGAGGGAGCTCGGTATGGGTGAGCCGATGAAAGGAAATGGAGCGTAGGGAGAAACGTACGGGGAGCTCGCTATGGGGGGAAGTGATGAAATGAAATGGAGCGCGGGAGGAGGGTAAAACAGAAGATACTATGTCGGTTGCCCTAACACCCGTCATCAAAGACACTTTCTACGTCGGTTAAAATTTACCCGACATAGAAAGTTCACTTTCTACGTCGGGTAAATGTTACCCGACATAGAAAGTTAACTTTCTATGTCGGTTAAATTTTACCCGACATAGAAAGTGACCTTTCCACTTACTATGTCGGTTAAAACTTACCCGACATAGAAAGTTTATGATTTTATTACAAAATTGCCACCGCGTCACATACTATGACGGGTGGATTACGACCGTGATAAAAACCCGTCATAGAAAGCTATTTTTCCACTAGTGAGAGGGATGCAAACTTGCTCCTCCCCGGACAAGCCAAACCCATTCTTTTATCTCTTCCCCCTCTACGGACACCCTCCATCAACTCTTACTCTTGATCTGTTACAACCACCCTCCCACCTATTACAACAACCCTCCCACCAGCTACAAACACCCTTCGCCACCTACAGTTGCAACCATTCTGGTAACTCAAATTGGACTCAACAATAGGTCAAAAAGGTATTTTTATTATCTAATTTTCATCTATAAATTGAAGGATCGAAAATATTGAGGGGATTCTTGGGAGAGGAAAAACAGATTAAAAGAAGCACAAATATTTGAGAAAACATAAAAAAATCATAAATTGGTAGTTGGAGTTGCGCAACGTGCCTGTAACAAGATTGGAGCTAAATAATGTACTGGTGATAAAGATTCAAGTCCAAAATAAAAAGCTCCAAACAGGTTTTTTGATATCTCTAATGTGGTGCTCATTTTTATCATTTGGTTTGATCCATGTTTTGATTGACTCTGATACATGCTCTAAAGATAAAATTTATATATAAACAGATAAAACGGGGAAGAGTTGGAACCTTGATGAGATATACGAAACTTTCAAGTTTTCATATCGTTCGTTCCACATCAAACCATACTCATCTACCTCCTCAACCAAAGCTAGAAAGAAGGAAATTTAGGGTCTATCATATTTTCTCGTTCAACATAGATTCAATCGGTACACGTTATTGATGTATATAATACGTCCTGACCGGCCTCCCCCTCGTGAAATTGAATGGATTTCACCTCAGTTTTATACAGCTCGGAAAACGAGAGACATTCCTGACCTCGGATGGAGGAGTGCCTCCAATTTTTAAGAACTCATCTAGAATATGGTGTGATATGATTTTATCATCAAAATACCCCAAATGGAAGGAACCGGTCATGCGCGTCCATTCATACCCTTAACCGGTCCAATCCCCGCGGATCACACTCGATTGCACTTTTTGCTTTGAACCTGAGAGCGACAAATAGACACCAATCCCATCTATTTCGTTCTTTCCACAATTTATGTTGCTTTCCCAACACGACCATGTTTGGCCCTGCTCAACCTTTTTCATCTCCGTTGGGCACCGCTTCTTCTTCCCCTGCATTCAGAACCTTATTTTCAACACTAGCTTTTGGCGCTTTTTCTACCCCTGCCTTCGGTTTCTCCCTCTTCTCCACACCCTTTTCTTCTCAACCACAACAACAAACAACAGTAGCAACAAACTCCACTGTTTCAACAACAGCCAACTTCTTCTGCTTTTGGCTTTCAAAATCCCTTCACCAAGTGCCGCAAACTCCAACCACTCTCCATCACGATCCGTTGGAGTTCCTGAAAAGCGGCAATAAACCATCGCTACCCCTCGTTCCTTCCTTTTCTCCAGCATTATGGTCCCATGCGCGCGTCCCGTGCACATGAAGGATATTTCTTCTATTTTTCATGGAACCTTGCACCAAGTGCCGTAAGGAAAAATGGGCCCCGTTTACTAAACCATACTTTTGCATTTTTCTTTTAACAAGTTTAAAATGTATACATTAATTGAATCTTGAATTTACAGATTATATATATTTAAATTAACCCATTTATTTTTATCATAAAAAATATTCTTAGTAAAAAATAATAAGATAATTATAATAAAGAAAATATTTAGACAATATTATTTAAACTCATAAGATATTTCATTTTGAAGTATTTATTTTTCTATTAAGTACATTTTGTCTATTTTATTTTAATATTTTATTAGACATGTATAATATTAAAAGTAGCTTGTTATAATATTTAAAAATAAAATATTTTTTATAATATAAGATATATTTATATTTATAATTATAATTATAATAATAATAATAATTATTATTATTATTATTATTTTGGGTGTACTCTTAATTTAATAATAATTACTAAAAGTATCATAATTACTCGAATGTGCTTTTATCATTATCATTAAAAAAAATAATAATGATAAATGAATAAATAAATATATTAGAATTGATAATGCTAAATATTGTGGAAGGAAAAATATAATCATTAAAAAATATTATTTCTTTTAATTAAATGATGTATTTCTAATTTGGTTATTTAAAAATTAATTAAAACTACTTTACATTTACTTCAATCAAAATTAAAAAATAAATTTTTACATATATTTTCTAACAAAAGAATCTGACATGATTCTCCATTGTACATAGAAAAACTTAGACCGAGGTAATCGAATGTGATTTTGTTATTATCATAAAAAAATAGTAATAATAAATAAATAAATATATTAAAATTGATAATGCTAAATATTGTGGAAGAAAAAATATAATCATTAAAAAATATTATTTCTTTTAATTAAATGATGTATTTCTAATTTCGTTATTTAAAAATTAATTAAAACTACTTCACATTTACTTAAATCAAAATTAAAAAATATAATCATTAAAAAATATTATTATTTTTTAATTAAATGGTGTATTTCTAATTTGGTTATTTAAAAATTAATTAAAACTACTTCACATTTACTTAAATAAAATTAAAAAATAAATTCAAATAAATTTTCAATGGACAAAATCAATCGGAAATTGTGTTGTTCAGACCATTATTATCTAATTAAAAAAATAGTCAGTACCTTAGAATTGAAGACTGATACTCCAATTATTAAATTACTATAATTTTTTAATAATAAATTACAAATATATTATATTTATATACAAGTAAATGTATATGCGTGTAAATATATAAATACAAATATATTTATATATTTTGATACATTGATATATTTATATATTGATATACTTATATATTGATATACTTATATATTTATATACTTATATATTGATATATATATATATATATATATTTATATTTTTATATTTTTTAAATATTTACGAGCGGATATATCCGTCGGTAATTTCAGTCTCCGTCGATAATAACTTCAGTAATTTACGTCGAGTAATCTCTCATTTTTTGACGACTACATATCCGTCGATAATTATCGGTCAGTAATTAATGATTTTCTTGTAGTGATACAATTGACTATCAGATCTAACTTTTATTTCTCAAACCATCTTGTTTTCTTTTAAAGGCTTTTCTAATATTTTCCTTCACATAAATATTGGTGGAGACTCCATGATTTTTCATTTCACTCCTATATTTTCGTTGTCCTGTCACAATTTTGGCTGCGATAGGGAATATCCACGTTTAAGATCAATTTTAGAACATGTTAGCCCCATGTAAGTCATCTAACCTAGGGATTGGGTGCCTATATTTTACGATGATGTTGTTAATGACCCTACAATCTACAGACATTCTCCATGACTCATTTTTCTTAGGAACCAAGAACAATGAAACAACACAAAGATTAAGGCTCTTTTGTACCCAACCTGATGAGTCTGTAATTGCCCCGGAGGTGGAAGAGGTCATCCCAAAGAGGATTACTAGGAGCATGACTAGAAGGGAGGTTTTCTCCTTATCGAAACCCCAGAGAGAGGGATAACATAATTCACCATGTGGATTTTGCATATAACCGGGTGTTCATTCCAGTTCCTCCCACTCTCCTTTTGGGGTCATGAACCTTGGACTAGCTAAGATGGAACCACTCATCTAGGGTGGCCCATCCCTTAGTGGTGTGCCAACACTCCACCACCACCATACTTCTTTTCTCTTCATATTTTCTTCTTTATTTCTTCACTCCATTTATTTATCCAAGGGGCTAGTCCATTTTTTCAACGCTTCTCTTTATTCTTTTCTATTTTCATTCCATCCTCTCCTCCCTCCACAATCCTTGGAAATGAACCTTCACATCTAGATAGGAAACTATCTTAATGTCCAGTGAGAATTTTCCTTGGGTTTACTTACTTTATTTCATAAAATTTTGCACCTTATATTCTTAAAAATTTTGAACCTTACTTTATATCACAACCCTTCTTCAACAAGTCACTCACTTGATTTTCTATCTCTTTAGTTTCTTGGGGATTAGTTCTTGGGTAGGCGCTCTCCAAGAACTAGAACAAATTGATGTTTTATTCTCTCAAAGGTGGAAGTCCATAAGGTAAATTTGCAAGGAATAGATCATCAAATTCCTTTAAAATATTTTTGATCTCTTGTGATAGAGAATTAAGTGTATGACTTGTGGAAGTAAATGTCTCTTTGTAGTAGAGAAAAAAGAATGAGGTTGGTCACTCAGAAGATTTATTTATTCCTCTCTCACTTATTATGGTGTGAGAAGACATAAGACAATTTTATTTCCCTTGTGAATGAAACTAATTTTATTAGTGAGGCCATCATGTATAGATCTTTTATCAAATTGTCACGACCTTCCAAACAAGATATTTCCATCTTCCATAGGACTCCATCACATAAAATTCCATCATGTTATTTACTTATGGAAATAGATAAACTCACATGTTAACTACTATTCCTCCATCATCTTTGATCCATTGCAATTTATAAGGTTTTGAATAGGGTATAATAGTTAAGGCTAGTTTCTCCACCAACCTAGAACCACAATAATTGCAACAAGAGCCACTACCCACAATCAAAGGACAAGTATTCTGAAAAACTTTATACTGTGTGTGGAATAGGTTCTCTCATTGATATTGTTCTAGTTCAACAAACTCGCTTTCAAGGAGCCTTCTCACCATAAGCAATTCTCCTTCACAAGGTAATAATTCTTCCTTAGAAGCATGGATTTTTTGTTGGGACACTAAGAAGCATAGTATCTTCTACTAAGACATCAAAAACACTAGATATCCCTAGCTTTTCCTTCTTTAGACGATTCTCTCATATATTTTTTCTTTTTCTTTTTCTTTTTCTCTATATTTGTCCTTATCCCGTGATCCTTCATACCTGGATTTGGAAAGGTAACCCTCCATCTTATATCCTTTCTATATATGCTTGGGTAATCTTTCCTATAGGTAGATTTTCTTTTTAACTATTGTTCCACCCTTACACAAAGTTGAACTAACTAATTTAAATCATTAGAGTAAAAGTTCAACCTTATTCCTAATGTCTAGGTTAAGGAACTCTAGAACCTAGCATTGTTATTCTTGGCTCTTCTTGATGAACGTTTGGCAAGTGCACCAATCATTAACGTAGTAATAAAATATCATCATCTGGGATTGAATTTGTTGAATACTAGATTCCTAATTTACGTAAGTTTGAGCAATTGAAAATTTGGAAAGAAAACAAACACAGAATTATAATAAGAACTTTAGTCAAAATAAGATTTGTTAGAGAATTGATTTCATACCCTTTCCTATATAATTCCAGTCTTTTTAATTGATGCAAGAAATGTAATTATCCACTTGAGTTTACCCAGAGTTGTTTTAGCCCTAATCCCTTAGTAGGCAAAACTATTCATTGAATCCAAACCCCCAATCCCTTAGGTCAGTTACGCCATTCAATAGAATCATGAAAAAACAATAATCTTCTCTATTGCAAAATAATTAGATATATGTCCAATTTCCCAATTGAGACAAACCCTAACCTGTTATATTTAGGATCGCGAACAACCTCCAATCTCCCAATTGTGAAACTGCTCATGGAATGAACTTGAAAATTATAAATAGAACACTGAGATAAAGAACATTAACTAAACATCAATTGTCAAGAATAAGAAAATATAATTCAGAGTACTACATCAATCCTCTAACAATGGGGAAATCAGTTCTGCATAATGTAAAAAATTGTTAAAAGATAATAACTAGAACGTAAAATTCCAGAATGATTGTCCCGTCCCCCTTTTTAGTTTCATTCCAACTTCTTTATAGGGTGTCCCACGTTTTTTTCTCCACTTGTTGAGGTAGTTACCACTTCTCATAACCGTCTTGAATTTCTACATGTTGTAGAAAAATCCACAACCCACCTATGGAACTCTCTGACTTTAACTGTGCCTTCTGAACCACAAATCCACAGGTTGTGGAAATATCTACAACTTACCTGTGGAGCTCTCGACTTCGTGCAATCTTTTGGAGTCTAATTCACAGGCTATGGAAAAATCCACAATCAACTCTGTGGAGCTTTCGATCTTGATCTTTGCATTACGGTATCAAATCCACATGTTGTGGAACATTTCACAAGGTACTTGTGGAACTTCTTGATCCGAAATATTTCTATCTTGACACCAACTCCCTCCAAACTATGAATTTAAACCTCCAAACACCTATTTACAAGGACAATGCACAAACCAACATGTATGATCCAAAACAACGATAATGCATGATGAAATCGTTCCCACAATGCAACAACATATGAAATTAACTTAAATTAATGCATGAATTTAATGATATTTTATCCACTCATCAAATTCTCCCAAGCTTAGACTTTTTCTTGCCCTCAAGCAAAGAGAATTTAATAAAAACAGGACGATAATGCAAACAAAATGATGAGTGTTTTTGATTTGGG